GCATTTTACTTCCATTTTAAAAATGGAAAAATATTTAAGATAGGATTGTCATTTCCTGTGGATGTGCAGGTAGCTAAGAACAGAAATACTCACTGACTGGGCTAGAATTAGCAAAAATTAATGTTGCACAAATAATTTGAAATGCCTCCCCCTTAGATATTCAGGTGGCTGAATCTCCTGGGGAAACCTCTAGAAAGTCAATCAAAGAGCAAAGTTTAGCTGCTCCATAGGGTCCTAGCCCTGCTGCACTGGGAACAATCCTGCTGGTGTTCTGCAGACAGGTATGGGAGCCTTAACCGAGCAGAGCATTTCCACTCTCACACTCCCTCTGGGAATGCTGGGGGTGGCAACAATTGCTCACTCCACACATTACAGAGCAGCTTCCCAAACATGAAAGGCAGTGCAGGCTGGAGTAGAGGCTGTGGGAAGCACACAGGCTCGGGATTGCTCATACAGTGAGAAAATGGATGGCACTAATGCACAGCCCTTTGCTTTCTGGCCCTGGATGAAAAAACCCCAGACCTGTATCTGCATTACGCAGCACTCGTAGCAGAGAACCTCCCCCAAGCCCTGCAGTGGCTCCCCCACTCCATCTCAGGGCAGGTTTTCCAGGCTTTCCTGAGCATACATACCTCTGAACGCTGTGCTGAGCACACCTGAAGAGAATTGATGCTGAAGGAACCTCTCCAGACAGCACGCTCTACGTTCCCTGGTTTTAATCACAAAGAAGCCAGGATTCTTTTTGTACATTACTCTGAAGAGATGGCATCACATCCTGCAGGAAAAGCTGTCTTTACTGATTAGCACAGCCTTGTGTGTAACCATGAGCAATCTTATCAGATTCATCCTGGCTGCCTTTAGTACCTAAATGATGCTGCACTTTTTGGAATTGGTCACCTCAAACACCATCAGAGAACAAAAAGGTGATGTCAGAGGACTGTGCCGAGCTGGAGCGGGCCAAGCCATCCCTTCCCACTGATTCCAGCATGAACACTATTCAATCAATGCCTGTAATTAAAGGAATAAATCTGGACCCCAACGCCTCTGCGTTACTCAGCTCTCTCAAAGGGAGCTGCAGGAACCTCCTGCGTTCTGGCTGTGGATGTGAGGGATGAGCTGTGTGTGTCTCCCCAGACACCCCACAGGCAGACACAAACCTTTCCCAGGACCCTCAGTCACTCCTGATGCCCTGGGGCTGCTCCAAGTGTTCCTGGACTCCTACCAGCACCTCTGAAGGAATATGTTGTTTACATGCCAGAAGTATTGATCTTCATAATCTTTATATTAAGCAGACTACCAGAGGCCATTCAACCTCCAGCCAAAGCCTTCACGGGGCTTCTATATCCTGCCACCTCCTCCTCACCTGACCCCAGCACAGGATTGGATTATTGTTATCCAGGCACAGATTCCAGGATGAGTGTCACACAGAGCTGGTCTGTGTCAGCACAATTGAGGTCAGCCCACCCCACAGCAAGACAGCAGGATGAGACTCCCTGCCTTGGGAGCTCCATTAGGAGCCTCTTTCAAGTTTTTGCTCCAGTATGAAAGAAGAAGAGATGCTGGAACTTGTAAACCAAGCTAGAATCACAATGAATACATACAACCATAAAAAGATTCTGCTGAAACAATAATCAAATATGTGACCAATGGATGCACTGTCTGGGCAAGAATGTGCTCACAAAGCTGGGAGGTAGAATAAGGGACAAGGAAAGGCGAGGGTGGTTATTTATTCAGCACAGGGTGTCTGGCTGCCTCAGGACAGGGCTGCAGCACCCACACACAGCCCAGGACAGAGTGTCCATGTGGGGAGGCCTTGACAACTAAGCAACGTCTACCTCAGATCCCCTCACAGGCAGATCCTCCCCTCCCACCACAGGGGCCTCTACAGAGCTGCCACTGCAAGGCTCAGAGCAGCCCTAAGCCCTCACAGCAGCTGGACACCCCAAACCTCCACACACCCCTCACAGCTGCCAGGACCCCCCTCTGCCCTCACAGCCCTCTCACGCCCCCACATCCCCACACTTCCCTCACAGCCCTCCGAGCGCTTATGGCACCCCCAAGCCCTCACAGATCCTGGAGCCCCCACAGTCTTCTCACAGCTGCCAGAACCCCTGAACCTTTAGCGTCCCCTGAGCCCTCAGCGTCCCCCTCAGCCCGCCAAGGCCTCACACTCCCGCTCCCCTCACACCGCCCGCTCCAGCCCCTTCCCGCCACCCGCGCGCGCCGCCGCCATGGCAACGCCCGCGCGCGGCCGCGCCAGCCCGGGGCCGGGGCCGCGCGCCGGAAAGTGCTGGAATGTGGCTGCGGCCCGCGCGTGCGCACGCGGCCTCCTTCCCCCACTCGCTGCGGCGCCGGCTGGAGCGGGACGGGGGGACGGGCGGGGAAGGAAGGAGGGAAACCTGCCTGGAGGAGCGGAGCCGAGGGGCGGGGGGGAAGCGCTGGGGACTCGCGGGGAACCCGCCCTGTCCCGCAGTGAGGAGGAGCCGCCGCCTCCGCTGCGCAAAGCGCGCACTCGGGTCCGTGAATGGGCGGCTGCGGCGGCCACCGCCCAGAGCCCGCTGCGGAGTCACTGCGACGGTTACCAGGGCGCTTCGTTCTCCGCCAATCAAACGGCGTTAGCTCATCCCCCACGGCCGGCAGCCAATCGGCTTCGACATCAATCATTCAATTGAGCCAATGGGGAGCGCCGTGAGCGAGCTGGGGCGGGCACTCGCGGCTCCCGGTTGCCCAACTGTAACGCCAACAGACAGGAGGGCGGGGCGAATGGGAGCCGTCAGCTTGAGTGACAGCGCCGCAGCCAATTAGATTCTCTCATTTGTAGAGCCTCGCTATAAGCATCCAATCGTTGCGGCGAATGGCCGCCTGGGCGGGGAGAAGAAGGCTGCGCGCGCATTCCGCTGCTATATAAGGGCTGGCGGTTGCCTCGCACAGCCAGAGTCGGTTGGGGAAAGCCTGGGATTGTGGAGAGCGCTCTGAGCCGCCGCCATCATGAGGGAGATTGTGCACCTGCAGGCCGGGCAGTGCGGGAACCAGATCGGAGCCAAGGTCCGGGCGGGGACGGAGGGCGCGGGGGCGGGAGGGGAGCGCGGCCGGCGCGGCGCGGCCGGCGCGGCGCTGACGCGCTTCTCTTGGGCAGTTCTGGGAGGTGATCAGCGACGAGCATGGCATCGACCCCACCGGCACCTACCACGGGGACAGCGACCTGCAGCTGGAGCGCATCAATGTCTACTACAACGAGGCCACAGGTAGGGCCCGGCCCCGCCCCGCGCTCCCCCCGCGCTGCCCGGCCCGGCGGTCACGGCGGTCACGGCTCTCGCTGTGTTGCAGGCGGCAAGTACGTGCCCCGCGCCGTGCTGGTGGACCTGGAGCCCGGCACCATGGACTCGGTGCGCTCCGGGCCTTTCGGGCAGATCTTCAGGCCGGACAACTTCGTGTTCGGTGAGTGCGCGGGGGCGGCGGCGCCGCGGGGTGGGGCGGGCAGGGCACTGCGGGGCTAATCCTGCCGTGGAGCGCCGGGGCTGCGGCTGGGAGCGGCTCCGCGGCGGCACCAGGGGTCGTTGCTGTCGGGTTCTGGGTTACCGCCTCGGTGCGTGCCACCGGGAGAAATGGAGTGGGTGCTGTATCATTGGTAATTAATGTTTGTCTGTGTCTGGCGAGCCACTGCAGAGGTGCCTGTGTGAAACCACAGCCCTGCGCTCGATGAGATGAAAGCTTTCATGGAGCCCGATGCTCTTAGGCTTTGCTTGCGAGCAATAAGCAGGAAGCAGTGACCGTAATCTAATACGAAAATGGCTCTTTTCCAGGTCAGAGCGGAGCAGGAAACAACTGGGCAAAGGGCCATTATACGGAAGGTGCTGAATTAGTCGATTCTGTGTTAGATGTTGTGAGAAAGGAAGCTGAAAGCTGTGATTGTCTCCAGGGCTTTCAGCTTACTCACTCCCTGGGTGGTGGCACCGGCTCTGGCATGGGTACCCTTCTCATCAGCAAAATCCGTGAGGAGTACCCAGACCGAATTATGAATACTTTCAGTGTGGTGCCCTCCCCTAAAGTGTCAGATACTGTAGTAGAGCCCTACAACGCCACGCTGTCAGTGCACCAGCTGGTGGAGAACACGGACGAGACGTACTGTATCGATAACGAGGCACTCTATGACATTTGCTTCAGAACACTGAAGTTAACGACCCCCACCTACGGTGATCTGAACCACCTCGTGTCAGCCACCATGAGCGGTGTCACCACCTGCCTGCGGTTCCCAGGCCAGCTCAACGCTGACCTGCGGAAGCTGGCAGTGAACATGGTTCCCTTCCCACGTCTGCACTTTTTCATGCCTGGTTTTGCCCCACTCACGAGCCGTGGGAGCCAGCAGTACCGGGCTCTAACCGTGCCAGAGCTCACCCAGCAGATGTTCGATGCCAAGAACATGATGGCGGCGTGTGACCCTCGTCACGGCCGCTATCTGACCGTGGCCGCTGTCTTTAGGGGCCGCATGTCCATGAAAGAGGTGGACGAGCAAATGCTAAACGTTCAGAACAAAAATAGCAGCTATTTTGTTGAATGGATCCCTAATAACGTTAAGACAGCAGTCTGTGACATTCCACCTCGCGGCCTCAAAATGTCTGCCACCTTCATTGGCAACAGCACGGCCATCCAGGAGCTGTTCAAACGCATTTCTGAGCAGTTCACTGCGATGTTCCGCAGAAAGGCCTTCCTGCACTGGTACACGGGCGAGGGCATGGATGAGATGGAGTTCACAGAGGCTGAGAGCAACATGAACGACCTGGTCTCTGAGTACCAGCAGTACCAGGATGCCACAGCTGAGGAGGAGGGAGAGTTTGAGGAGGAAGCTGAGGAGGAAGCAGAATAAAGCTATGCAGTTGAACACCTGTAAATTTTGTTTAAAGTTGTATGAACTCTCTCATTCAAAAGTTCTGTTTGTGTTGTGTTATTATTGCTGTTTCCAAGTCACTCCCAATGCTGTACAGGCACCATTAAAGCAGTTCTCACAGTGCACGTCCCCGTCTCCTCTGTTCACACCGGTATGATTCCCGTGTGCCGTCCCCGTAAGTGAGCCCGCTGATGTCCTGCAGGTCTGCAACACAAAAACTGGGCTTGGCACGAGCACTGCCACCTCGTCCACGGCAGCCACCCTCCTGTCCTGCCCTCAGCCAGGTGCTGCCTGCTGTGTCACCGGCAGGGTGGCAGTCCTGCTCCTGCCGGTGCGGATCGAAGGCACTCGCTGGTCTCTTAGAGTCAGGTACTGCTGGAGGGGGGCACATTAACAGGGAGGGTGGATTTAATTCCGAGCTGTAGCTAAATTTAGGTACCTGCCTGTGGCCTGGTGCAGCGTGGCCTGGCAGGAGCTGAGCAGGGGTGGTTTGAGCTGCCTGGGCACAAAATGGTGCCACAGAGCTGCCACCCAGCACTGGGTGTTCTGCAGCAGCGGAGCTGCTCCACTGCAGCTCCTCAGCGCTACAAACCCAGCAGGGAGCCCTGGCCTGGCCCAAGGGTGCAGGGCACACTGTCACAGGTGCCACCAAAGCTGTCCCACGCACACAGCCCTTCTGCAGTGATTGCAGAAATCACAGCAGAGGTTTGATAATCGGTGTTGATGCAGCCTCTGCTTGTTGGGTGAGCTGAACACCTGACAGGTATCTGACACTGGTTTGTCTCGTGAAAACCCTGTTTTAACAAGCAGGTTTTTACAATGGAACCAATTCCATTGTAAAAACAATTCCATTAGAACCAAAACCATTGGAACAAATTCCAATGTTTGGTGTCACTTCAAGTGACAAACCTCCCAACCAAGGAGCTGGACAGGAGGGAGCAGGTTCCTTCCCTGCTGAAAAAATTCTGTTCAGCGTTCTAAATTATAACTGCTTTTGTTTAAAGGTTTTCTGCCTTAATTAATTTTCTCCACCCAGAGCTGGACTGGTTGGAGCAGTTAAAACTGTTCTGACTGGTGGCTCCAGAGGCAGGGAAGTGGGAATGTCTGCAGAAAAGGGCCCAGTGTCAGACCTGCACTCAGCATTCTCCTCTCTGGGCTCAACCTCCCCATCAGCCACAGCCCAGCCCTGCCAGGAGAGTCGTTTTCCCATTTTGTGCTTTCAATCCTGCCACATTTCATATCTTCTCCCATTTCCCCCCTCTGCACTGCAGCAAGGACGAGCAATGAGTTCAGCTCTTCCCAGCTGAGCTCCACGATTTCCTACCCACATTACTGAGATGTGACCAAACCCAGCAAGGCAGTAGTTGCTGATTCGTTGATATATTTTAGCCTGGTACGTTAATGCTTCCAGGTGCATGGACACACTTTGCCTTACACACAAAATTCCTCCAGACCTCTCCTTTTAGGCAGCCCAAGATGTCACAGGGCTCGGGCAAGGACGTGTCCTGATGGCAAATACCATTTCCTTACACTTTTTGTGCTTTTTCAACCCCTTCATACCATCTACCTTTTCCTTTTAATCAGACTTGAAGCTTTTTGGAACAAATCTTCCTCATACGTGACAGGTGGGATGTCACTGAGCCTGGCAGGGATGGTGCCTGGAAATGTGAAGCCTGGGAGAGGCTGGCAGTGGGAATGCTGAGCTCTCCTGCAGCCAGGGCATGGCAGAGTTCCAGTGCCTCAGCACAGACCACAAAAAAAGTCTACTACCCATGTGGAGCATCTCAGTGATTGTCCACTGCTGTGCCACTCCAGCTAATAACAGCACTACTTAACCCAGTAATTAGTGACTTTCGTTTTCACTCGGCTGATGAACTTACGTGGTACAAAGCCAGCGTAGTTAGGTATGAGTCCAGCACGGTTGTAGATTTTGGTGTCCGGCCAGTGTGTCAGGGGGAATCTAGTGCCCAATGTATAAGGTGGATTTCTCTCCAAAAGCTGGAAAACAAAAAAAAAGACCCCACAACAGCATGGAATGGTTTATTTTAAAACACACTATTTTTATCAAAGTCATGTGCTTTGACTCTGCATTATATAAAATATTTAAGCCAACATAAAGCAATTCTCCTTCCAGTCCTGCTGTCTTCTAATTAAGAGCTACATTGCATTGTCCCTTTTTCCACTCCATAAATTTTTCTCCTGGCAGGTGTTGGCAGCAGTCCCTACCACCTCATCCCCCATGCCCACAGCATGGCCCAGGTGCTGTCCTTGGGATCCCTGCAGACCAGGCTGCGGAGATTTATTCCCTTGGGGATCCTCCCCAAGTCCCAAAGCTCCTGCTCTGCTGTCCCTGGAGCTGGGCCTGCTCCTGAGCTGTGGCTGTTTGGGTTCGACCCCCTTTGTGTTCCCACGAGTCCCACCAACAGGCCAGCAGGAGCAGGAAGGCTTAGGGAATATTAACAGAAGGAAGAGTGCAAATCATCTCCTGCCCTCTGAGGCCGGACACAGGCAAGGGGCTGGGCAGCAGGGTGGGTGTCACAGCTGGGTGTCACAGCTCTGCAGCCACAGAACCCCTAAAGGTGTCCCCAGAGCTTGCTTGGGATGCGGAGAGGGGATGTGGGTCACGGAGCCCAGCACACCGCGGGGCTCTCTGCGCCTGGGACGGAGCCCAGGCTCCTCCGGGGGGTTTTTGCTGTGCCTGCTGCAGGCGGTGACCAGTGATCCACGGCACATCTGTAACCGAGGACAACAAAGATTTAGGGCAGCAGATTAGTGGCTTGAAGTCAGAAGCCATCTTAGCTGGAGATGCGGTGTGATCCTCCTGCAGCGTCTGCTCCTCGCTGCTGCCAGCCCGGCAGCCGGACTGCGCCGAACCTCCCGGCCGATTCACGGCGTGGCAGGCGTGTCCGAAGGCACAGGGGCAGGAAGGCTTGGCAAACAGCACATTCGGGGATAAATACCCGGGTTTTGCTCTGTTTGCTCCGTTTCAATTCCTAATCACGGCAGCAGGAAAGGAGACGGAAGCCAGCGCTGGGAAATGCATCTCCTCCAGAGCAGACGCTGCCTTGATGCTCTCCCTGCTCACTCATTTCTGCCCAGCTGATTTCTCTGAGCTGGGGACCCTCAGCCTTGGAGGCTTTTCCTACCTCAGCCCCACATCCTCGGGGATGGAGGCACGGCAGCGTGTCCCGGGGAGCAGCGAGGGCTGGGCTGTCTCAGCCTGCCTTTGATGCGCTCATCTGCTGGACCAGCGAGGCTGCTGCACCCCGGGGACCCCGCTGCACCCCGGGGACCCCGCTGCATCCAGGGATCTCCCTGCATCCAGGGATCTCCCTGCATCCAAGGATCTCCCTGCATCCAGGGATCTCCCTGCATCCAAGGATCTCCCTGCATCCAGGGATCTCCCTGCATCCAAGGATCTCCCTGCATCCAAGGATCTCCCTGCCTCCAAGGATCTCCCTGCATCCAGGGATCTCCCTGCATCCAAGGATCTCCCTGCATCCAAGGATCTCCCTGCATCCAGGGATCTCCCTGCATCCAGGGATCTCCCTGCCTCCAAGGATCTCCCTGCATCCAAGGATCTCACGCCATCCTGGGGGCAGGGAGGGACGTGTAGCTCTGAATGCAAACTATCAACTGCTGCGGGAGGGATCTCGTTTTCCCTGCCGGAGGATTATGTGTCATTGTATGGGAGCTCTTACAGCAAGGGGACACAGTTTTTCAGGAGGGATATTTGTGCATCCTTCCCAAGAGGAGGAGAAAGACGGTCGAGATCCCTTTAAGACAAATTGTGTTAGGAAAGGAAAAAAAGCCTTACAAGCAAATAAATAATATGTCACAGGAAGTCATCAGCACTGCCAACCAGACAGAGGAGATGTATTCTATAAGGGAAGTGCAGATAGTTGCATCCTGTATTTCTGCACCCAGAGCAACATTTTTAACAGCCACTCTTGACCCAGCCCTCAATATATTTCCTTAATCCTTTTATTAACTCATTTACCATCCTTTAATGTCTCAAGGAAACAAGTTAGAGAATTTAATTGCTGGGTTTTTTTCAGTGTTAACTAACAGCCTTTGATTTTGCTTGTGTGCTTGTACCCCAGTTCTAATCCTACTGCTGAAAATTCAGCATCAGCATTATGCACATTATTTCAATAATCTATAATCTACCTGGCGACGGTCAAATTCCTGCATGGCTTTCTTCACAGACAAGAGGTAGGTCATGCCAACATTGTCCATGGAGCAGGGGATGAATCCAGTGTACCCTTTGGGTGGAGGCAAAAGAGGACATTTTCTGCTTGAGAACATACAAAGATCATTTAAAGATCAACCACTCTGAGAGTAGAGGAGCCTAGGATTAATATGAAACCTTAAAGTATAGGAAGGAAAAATTAATTTGTTTAAATTGTAAAATTAACTCTTACATGTGAGGTATGTTCTCTGAAAGACGGTTTTTTCCTTATGATTCCCAAGGAAAAAACAATGGCCTGAACTGATTTTTGTTGGTGTGCATGTGGCATAGAAGAACCATTTCATTTTCTTAATCCTTTTTTTTTTTTTTTTTTTTTTTTTTTTTTTTTTTATTTTTTTTTTTTTTTTTTTTTTTTTTTTTTACATCTACAGCTCTTTCATGTTTTCTCCCAATTTAATACACATTCAGGGGCTAACAACGGGATGTCCAATCTTTTTTCCTTATCTGCTCTGCCCATCCAACAAATTCCCACAACAGAAAATTTATAAATTCTAAAACTACACGAAACCTAGTGAAGTAGAACCTAAAAGCAGCCCAAACTCCCTCTTTCCACAGGAATGTTTTGGAGAGAGAAATTTGTCTTCTGCACCCTAAAACCCGGACACTCTCTCATTTTAACTGGAATATTGTGATCCCTGTATTCCCATGGTGTGGTGCAGAGTGAAGAATCCCTCCCACTGCAGTTGGATCCTTGAGCCCATCACCCATCACAGCTGCCTCTCCTGCACAGGAATGTTCTCCCAGGGCAGGGGGAAGACACAGAGCACCCCTTGCAGGACAGAGTTTATGCCTTTGTGGTGGTGCCATACCATGCTGTGGGTGGATTTGGTGATTCAGGAAAACATCTGATTTCTAGGAGATGAATAACCACCCTGGCAGGGTGGGGCAGCTCTCCTCACCCTCTGCAGCTTGAGGTGATTCCTGAATCCCTTCCACTGCCCGTGAGCACAGAGTGACAGCATCCCAAAGAAATGCCCTTGCAGGGAGAGCAGCAGGGATATTTTCCATCCCAAACAAGCTGGAGCCACTGGGCAAAAAACCTCCCCAAGGGGAGAAGGGTCACAAAATTTCCTCAGGGGTGGCCTCGTGCTGCACGTGCCCTGGCTGTGTTTTACCTAAAGTGACTTTCTGTCGGATGGCATTTGGGACAGGCAGCACTGGCAATGGGTAATCTGCTGTTGCAACCCCTCCTGGCAGCGCCACGCCTCCGGTTTCTAGCTGCTTAAAACAAAAAGAGAAATCAAATCAAACACCAGTAAAACCCGCTTCTCCCCTCGGCTCCGCTGCTTAAATCACTGCCAGGACTGGGAATGGCAACTGCCACTTCCAGTTCTTCCCAGCCTCACTCGAGAGCCACCCCAGCCACTTCTGGGAAAGTCAAATTATGAGACCAGCAAGTAGCAGACCTAGAAGGGGCTTGCAAAATCCCCATGGAGAACAAGCCTTGGGCACTGAACTCCTGTGCAAATCTGTTTCTGAGGGCAAGGAGCAGGAATGGCCCTTCTTGGGATTTACATCCAAGCCAGCTTTTGACTCCATGCGTCAAACCTCTAATCTCTGCCTTCAGAGGATTTGCGGAGCCACAGCTGCAGGAACGTGACAAAGGTTGTTGCTGGCTCCAGATAAAATAAATGTTTTATCAAAAAAGAACAAATATAATAATAATGATTTTTTAAAAACCACGAAACATGCTGGTCTGAAGGGATATTTGGCTGTGCTGTGCTCAACAGCCCCCAGCTCCACAGGCAAATCCCAGTGCTGGTGTTCAAAGGAGAGGTAATGATGGTGGGAAATTCAGGTGGGGGCAGATACAGGGTCAGAAACCCAGCCAAAGGTGCTGGCACTGCTCTCTTTTCGGGAGGAGGAGGAGGAGGAGGAAGGCAGCATCAGGGCTCCAAGGACACCCTAAGGAAGCACAGGCCTGGCTGCCCAGCACAGCTTGACACAACTTTAGGGACTGGCATTGAAGCCAGACCCACCCAAAGGAGAAATTAAACCTTTCTGATTGGGAAGCATAATTAACGATCAAAACCATTTCCTGAAGATGGAGTAATTTGCTGCTGCTGGAAACATTTGTGTGTCTGATCTTTCTCTACACAAACTCCTCACTTCGTGCTCTTGCCATTTGTTGGATGAAGCCCTTTTCTGACCCAGAGATGGGGTAACTGAGAGGTGTTTTAAAACTGTTATTCTATTTTCAGTCTTGTGTGAAGAGTGAGACAATACACGTTATAATTCACGCCATCACAATCAGAAGGTTTAAAGCATTTACAGCATGATGTGGCTAAAGCTAATAAGCCAAAACCACTTATAATGTATTGTAATTAAGAAATAGTTAGCTTCTAGATGTAACAGTGGAAATTATAACATCGATATTGTCTCACCAGTCACACGAGACTGAGAATAGAATAAAAGTTTTTAAAACACCTCTCTGGGTCAGAAAAGGGCTTAATCCAAGAGCCACTGTCACCCGTGTGAAATTCCCTCCTCACCCTCCCAGCGCCACTCACCGCCCTGCTCCCTCCGCAGTGACACTGGCACGTTCCAGTCCCTGTTCCCAGGGCTCGGGCCAGGGGTGGCTTGGCCAGCTCCCTCTCCATCTCCTGGGCCTCGGGGTGCAGGGCGAGCCCCGGCAGCGGCTCCGGGGGCAGCCAGGCCCGCGGGGCACCGAGCGCGGCCGTGCCCGGCGGGCAGCGCCCGGGCTCCATCCGTGCCACCAGCGGCTCCTCCAGCAGCGGCACCTCGGCAGGGCTCGCAATGGGCTGGTGGGTGACATACCCTGGGGGACAGACACTGGTTAGGGCTGTCCCGAAGAGGATGAGGGTTCCCCTTATCGCCCTGCCATGGGAAGGAGCCTGCAGGTCAGCAGCGTAGAATTGAAACGTAAATTTTAAGGGATTTAGAGATTTTAGAGGAGCTAAGATTTTAGTTAGAAATAAGCCTTACTAGAGTTAATTAAAAGAAATGAGTAGGCCTTGATGAAGTTAGGAGTTAGTAGTTAACTAATAATTGATTGCTTGTCAGCACAATGTTTAGTTAGCTGGGTTTATAATGAAGAATACACAAACTGACAAAGAGCTTTTAGGAACATCAGACAATTGTGGGCCTCCTCTGTTCTGAAACCAATTGGAGACAAGGAATGGGAGTTATACCAAGAGTTCATTTGTCAGATTGGCATTGAAAAGGTAGAAAGATCAGAATGAGAAAGACTTCATTGACTTCCTCATTTTGGGACCCCTCCCCATGGAAAAGACACCGACCCATTTCAAGGAACAAACCACGCATGCTGAATGGCTTTTGAAATGATTAGTGTACGAAGCAAGGAATGGGATGTACCAAAATGATGAATATGCATTTGTATTTTGGGTATTCAATACTTGTATGGCTAAAAGGGCTCTGTAACCACCTGGAAGCTGCGGTGTGGATTTGGGAGTTATCCCACACACAATAAACACACACTTTCTAACTTTAAACTGCTAGAGAGCTTTTGTCCGTCACGGTTGGATATCGGTACTAGATCAATATCCAGATTTTTTAATAAATCAGAATGAGAGTAGCTCGAGTTGCAAGGGACCACAAAGATTCACTCCATGCACATCCCATGGCTGTGTCATCAGCCCCGTCAGTAAACCAGGCTGCACAGAAAACAGGCATAAATCCCAGTTAAGTAACATTTACCCCAACTGTCACCCAAATGGTAAAATATCACCAGCCAAGTGAAAAAGTCGTAAAGGGGGAAAAAACCTCAATCCTTAACTCCACGTGGCTGTGTCAGCCCACCCCAAACAGAGCCCCCTCCAAGGAATTCTTGCTCTGGCACCATTGCTGCTCGCTGGCTGGGAAAAAAATATCTAACATCCAGCAAATGCTAAATATCTTCACTGTGAACGAGGGACAGAGCCCCGTGATTTGAGATGCTGCAGGGACAGCTGAGTTTGGCAACTTTTCTCTGATTTCCCCTTAAAAATCCCCCCTGACGTGGCTCCCCAGCCCCGTGTGACCCCTGGCTCAGGCACTTTCTCTTCCTCTGTGCCAGCAGTGAAGCCCATTTTTCCCCTCCTGTGTAGTTCCAGAGGAGAATCCCCCCTCCACCCCACAGCCACCTTTTCCTCCTTGGAAAACTGTTACTGTGTCAGCCTTGTCTTTTAAAAACAAACCAAATTCCTTCCATTTTTGTGCTCACAGGTCATTTTTTCCCAGGTCATTACAGCCTTCCTCTGAGCTCCCCTTGGGAGCACATCTGCATCCCAGGGCTGAGCCCAGGGAATGAGGAACTGTCTTCCAGCAGAGGCTCCATCTGCAGACAGTCTGCTCATCTGCAGTGCTGGAGTAGTGTTGGAATCAATCTTAGAGGTTTTTCCAAGCTGAATGATTCCACGATTTCTGCAAATCTGCAGAAATCAGCAAAATCTGCCCTTTTCTGCATGAGCATAAATTTCTGGTGGGCATTTAGGTGTGCAATCTGCCCATAATTACATAATAATGTGTATATATTCTGTATACAACTTTGTGAAATATATAGAATATGCTCTATGCAACTGAATTATCAAGTGTCCAGGCTGGCACCAAAATAAAGAAAAATCCTTGATTAAAGTTATTTTTCAATCCAATGTGCAAATTTTAAAGCGGGTTTATTTTTTACTTCATTATTAATAAGAATGTTGAATCTACTCTCTTTCTCCCACAAATCAAAGGAAAAGGAAACGTAGGTTGTTCTGTACTTGAGAAATCCACGTGAGCTCCTTTTAATGACCCTGGAGTTTGCAAACTGATTGATCCTGAAAGACTGCACAGCGAAGCACAAAATGAAAAGCCAGGAGGGCACCATGCTTCTGATTTGAGGAAATGTCCACATTTTCAGGTCAGGCTCCTGAGGAGCTGCTGCCTGTACAATTGGCCGGTGCCACAACCAGCTGCAGCAGGGATGATGGATAATTCAGCACATCCCTGGCTGATCTCATGGAATCACAGAATTCCTGAGCTGAAGGAACCCACCAGGATCATCCAGCCCAACCCCTGTCCCTGCCCAGACCCCCCAAAATCCCACCCTGGGCATCCCTGGCAGCGCTGGCCAAAGGCTCCTGGAGCTCTGGCAGCCTCGGGGCCGTGCCCATTCCCTGGGCAGCCTGGGCAGTGCCAGCACCTCTGGGGGAAGAACCTTTCCTGCTCTCCAGCCTGAGCTGCCCTGGCCCAGCTCCAGCCGTGCCCTGGTCACCAGAAGGAAGAGATCCTCAACAGCAGAGCCTGATTGCACTTCCAGCAAGAAAACAAATGGGATCCAACTCATAGAAACAATCAAAGTACTTGGTGCCCATCAATGAGACTTTATCAAAGCCACACCTTGAGAAAAAATCTTGGGACTGAGTTTGCTGAAGGCAGCCACAGGCCCAGCACTGCCCTGAGCTCTTTGATCACCATCACATGAAACACCCAGGAGGACACCAGGCAGCACCTGGGCAAGGTTTAAGGGATGGCACAGGACCTGCTGGGCAGCAGGAGCTGTTGGTGACCTGATCAGCACAGCCAGGGCTGGTTCTTCAGGACCTCACTAAGGAGCAGCAGACATGAGCACCAGCATCGGTAACGAGGAGAGAACCAAAATAATGAGAGAGCAACTCGGTCAACTGGTTCGTTGGGTCTGTCTAAGCAGTATTTTAGACCAAGCAAATGCAAATTCAAATCTCCAGGAATGAAGCCTGTAAACACTGTGTGTGTAGTGGAGGCCTGGCTCATGGAAAACAGGGCCAGGAGGAGCAGAGAGGCCACAAAGTTTGCAAGAAGCTGCACGGCACAAATTGCCAGTGAGAAATGAGAAAGCAACACTTTGGTGTGGCCATCCCCAGGGAAATAAAGACCCAGATCTCACATGGGCACGTTATCCCTGTGTTCAGCCTGGAGGAAAGTCACTCCACTCTCCAGGGCATCCACGACAGCCACAGGATGGGACACGGCAAATGTCCCCAGAGGATGGCACATCCCCAGGGCCAGACCAGGGCAGCTCTGCTGTGCCTGCTCTGGCTGCTCAGCAGGGACCAGGCACTCTGCACAAAGGGCTGGGACTTGGTAGGAGATTCCTGCAAATCCCCAGGGCTGGGAATCCACATGAGCCTGTGCTTTATGGAGATGTTAGCAAAGTGGAAAGGGAAAAGAGGGAAAGGAGGGAAAGGGAAAGCACAGGAGCCTTTCTGCTGAGCTGAGGAGGAGCAGCAAAAAGAAGAATCAAGGCCAAGCTGTCAGAGCTCAGAGCAGAGGGAGCTGTGCACCAGGCAGGTGAGCCAGAACAGAGTCAGAGGTAGGAGACCAGACCTTCCACAGAAAGATGGATTTTAGTCTGTGGAATTGTGCTGGGTTTGACTGGGGTAGAGGTAATTCTCTTTACAGAGTAGTTTGGATTTGTGAGCAGGCAGCTGTACGGGGTTGCCAGCCAGGGTTAAACCCCAACAGGAATTCTGGAAGCTTTGGGGAGTGAGTTAATGATATGCCATAAAGTCACTTATCTTCATCTGACTGAAGATAACCTGGGAGCTGAAACTCTCCTGTCCACAACACCAGAATCCCCATCCTCGTGAGCTGAGGCCACGAGCTGCAGCACCTCACTCTGCTGCTCTCCAGGTGTCAGAGCTCCTACACCAGAGCTGTGATTGCTCCAAGGAAAAGATCCCATTTCACCCAGCAGCCTACCAAGGACCCGTGGGCACAGACCCCACTACTGGTAATTAACACTGCTCGTTAGCAGGGTCTGTTTGCTCACCTGGGTGCTCAATGTGGTAATGGAACTCAAGGAGGTTTTCCTTGTTGTCCAGTGGTGCCAGCAGGGAGCGAGGGCTCTTCCTGATGTTGGGATCTGTCAGCAGATCGTGGGTGGTTCTGCCATAGGTGTCCCCAAACTTGAAGGTGAACTGAGGAACGTAGCCCCCGTAGCTGAGGAGGAAACCAAAGAGGAGCCACCAGTGAGATGGCACTAGGAGATGTCCACTGGTGGGGTAATCATGGAACCCCAGCCTGGTTTGGGCTGGAAAGGACCTCAAAGCCCACCCAGTGCCACCCCTGCCATGGCAGGGACACCTCCCACTGTCCCAGGCTGCTCCAGCCCTGTCCAGCCTGGCCTTGGGCACTGCCAGGGATCCAGGGGCAGCCACAGCTGCTCTGGGCACCTGTGCCAGGGCCTGCCCACCCTCCCAGGGAACAATTCCCAATTCCCAATATCCCATCTGGCAGTGCAGATGTGCTGTAGTGTTTGTGCCCTGTGCAGGAGCCCAGGGATGGGTGGGATGTGCCCGGGTGGAGCAGCAGCGCCCGGGGAGAACCGGGGCCACACGTGTGGTCACACAGGAGCCAGGAGGGAGTGTCTGTGTTCCACATGCCTGCCCTCCTCTGGCACCATGGCAACTGCCTCATCAATCCACAGGCATGTACAGGCACAGGCCTTTGCAGAAACACGGGATGAGGCCAGGGAGCAGCACCTGTGGGTGGGAGAACTCCCAGCACAGCCTGGGCTGCAGTGGCTTTGGCAGCACCCACAATCCCCCAGTTAAAATATCATTTCCAGTTCAGCATGCCCCAGTTTAAACTTTGCAGTGCCTCTCTGCTCTGACACACCATAACTGAGAAAATCCCAGTGCCTCGTTCTGTATTAAAACTCAAAAATCAGAATAATTCCTCTCACAGCAAGGAGTGGGCCCAGGCTGATGAGCCCACCCAAGCACTGCCTGGCACAGGGAGGGCACAGGGAAGGTGGGCAGCACTAGGAATAAACACTGCTCTGGTTTTTTGGGATCTCTCCACTGCCCAGTTCCTGGGATGGGCAGTCACAGCTCCTGTGACTTGTTGGTGGCCAAGGGCAGGGCAGGTGCTGGAGCTCTGGCTCTGCTCCGAGTCACCATCAGAAACTCGAGCTGTTCCAGTCTCAGATTTCCTAATGGTGATGTTATTCCAGCACTGAGGAAAGGTAGAGCAGCCAGTTGCAATGGACAGACAGAAACATTCCATCAATGAGCCCAGCGTGGATCCAGGGATAAAGCCAGATGATGCATGAGGATCATAAGATGATGAGTAAGTCCTTTCCCTTCCAAATAGTTTGAGCAGCAGCGAGCAGAGCTGTGCATTTACTCTTGGCAGGTTTCCCCACTCTGCATGCAGGATTCCTCCTGGAGCAGCTCTCTGCCTCATCCCCAGGGGTTCTCAATCAGTCTTGCAACATGGATAATAAAACTGAGCAAGGGCACGAATGACACAGCCCCAGTAATTACAGGATGGCTGGAGGGATTCTGATCATGGACAAAATAATGGCTGGGCTGAGAAAGGGCTCTGCTCCCCTGCAGTTAACCACGAGGTCACCTGAGAGAGACTGTCTGGGTGCTCAAGAAGGGATCTGCCACAGAGGGACTCACAAGTGCTGCTGGAAACACCTGGGGAAGGGATGAGCCTCAGCAGGGCTGTCTGTGCCCCTGTGCTGGGGTGCTGAGGAAGGAACCCTTTGGGGAGCCCTGTTTGGGGGCTCAGGCTTTGAGCAGGGCTGGCCCGAGGCTGAGCCCCTCTCAGCCCCATCTCCTCCATCAGCACTGCCAGGCTGCCACCCAAACCTGCTCTGCCTCACCAGCAAACCCTGGCCCTGCGCCCATACTCACTTGTCTCCAAACCCTTCCCAGCTCTGCAGAGCCAGGCTGTGCCCAGGATTCATGGACTGACCCCTTCTCTGCCCACCCAGACCTTCCCAAGCCATCCCACTCGCTGGGTTTAGGCTTCCCAGTGCCCTGGAGCACTCTGGTGGCTTTTCAAACTCCTGCTGTGGCCATTGCCTGGCCTGAGTGACACGGACGTGTTTGGTGCTCTCGTGGTGCTTGGAGGTTCACAGGCACAGGTGGACACCTGGGGACATCCTGGACACAATCCCTCCTCCTGACACCCCAGTGCAGGGCTCTGCTGCTCTTCAGGCAGCTCCTCCTCACCCCCAGCACCCATGGGGGCTCAGGGGTGCCCTGAGCCTGCACAGCACCAACAGAAGCAGCAGCAGGGTTTGCCTCCTCCTCCTCCTCCTCCTGCCTCCAGAGGTCACAGCAGCTCTGGAGAGGAGCAGCCCCAGCTGCTGTGTCCATCCTGGAGCTGCTCCTGAGGGAGCTGCAGGCAGGCAGGGCTGAGCAAGGGAAGGTGTTGAGGCTTTTGGGGCTGCAGTTCCAGCCCCAGCTCCCTCCCTGCTGTCCCTCGTCTTTCCCAAGCTGCTGCCAGCACAGCTTTGATGGCACACAGGGAATGTCACATCCGATAGCCACAGCAGTGCAAAAATGAGTAAAAACACCCAGGCTCAGAGCTTATGTAAGTGGGAAGGGAGAGATCAGTAATGGAAAATCTTGCCTGTCACTCTAAGGGGAAGGGCTGATTCGGTCATCACCACAGGAGCAGCTTTAAGGAAATGCTCCAGCCTGTCCCTGTGCCTGAAATCTGCCTCCCCACGGGGATCTGCCTCCCCAGCCCTGCCCTGCACACGGGACCTGGCTGGCACTCCCTGTGCCAGGAGCCTGGCTGGCACTCCCTGTGCCAGGAGCCTGGCTGGCATTCCCTGAGCCTGGCTCACCTCAGCCTGGGCTAATCCCAGGGATTTGACACCCACAGCAGCTGCTTTTCTCCAGGGGGCCACCCAGCCCTTCCCAGCCCCTTCCCACATCCCAGACCAGCTCTCACCACAGGACCCTGTCACAGTGAGCTCATGGACACTCTGTGCCCCCTTCTCCATTCCCTGTGACTCTGATCAGATCACCCTGGACCCTCCTTCCTGCCCCAACGGGGTTGGTGGAGAGCCAGAGAAGCCCACCCTGTCCAAAGTCTGTACAGACCCCTGACATTTCCTGTTTGTGCTCTTTTGCCCTGCTCTCCACATGGACACCACAGAATAAAGAGAGCTGAACCAACATACATTGGGGTAAGAGGCTCTTTTGGAAATCTTTGCCATCTCCTGATATTCCTCCCCTCACAGCCTGCTTACCTCTGAGCTAGCCTAGGATATTTTGAGGGGCTGTGCACAGGGGGGAGCATCAGGACCCCCCACACAAAATCTTAATGCACAGCAAATCCCAATTCCTCCCGTTCATCTCTTACCTTCTCCCCTGTAACTCACTGCCTCATATCCAGGGTTTCTTCCTTCCAAGCCTTTAGAGGAGAGCGTCACAAAGAGTTTTGGGAAGAAATCCAACTACTTATGGAGCAGATCACAAGACTTCCCAGTCTCTGACCCAGCAGCAGGACAGGGCTCCAGCCCAGTGACCAGAGGGTGTCACATCTGCACAACCCTTCAGTCAAAGGAGACTTCCAAAAATCCTTGCTGCAAATATTAAGACAGTTTGGAAGCCAAACCCTGCACAGTAGCTATGCTAACATTTGGCGGCTTAAAAGAAATGGAGAAAAAGGGGGGGAAAAAACCATTTTGGCTTTGCTCTCCATGTGCCAGGGCATGGTCTGTAGCTCTACCTTGGAGCTCTACCCTGTGCTGTTTCCCCCGGAGTTGTCTCCTTCAGAGCAAGGTTACATGAAATATTGAATATTGTCTTAAAAAAAACCCCAAAATATCCCGAGTCATAAATAGTCCCTGACCCCAACCAGAGCCATGTGCATTGGAAATGGATGTTTTGGATGAACTCACCCAGGGATGTAATAGGGGTTTTGAGGGAAGATGTTGTTTCCCTTGGAGACTTCCATGCTGGTGTTACAGCTCATGGTGGGGAGGGGGAGAGGAGACACAGCTCAGTGCCATCTCCAGGGGAGCCTCTGTGATGTCAGCCCCCAGCAGGTTCCACCTGCAGCACAAACCCCCCCAGCTTCTCCTGGGCACAGCCCTTTCCTTCCCCACCTGGAAGTTTTGGAGGAGCACAGGAATTTTACAGCGTGTGTCAGAGTTCCTGAGGGCTCCCAGCCCTGGTGCTCCCTGTGAGTGGTGCAGGCACAAATCCCAGCCAGGGCTCTGCAGAGCCTGCCTGCCCAAGCCCCCCAGGCCATCAGGGACATCGAGGCACGGGCCCAGGGCTCCCCGGGAGCTCGACCACCCCTCCTCTGCCTGCTCCCTGCTGCCCTGGCTGTTTGAGGACTCAGATCCTTCACTGCTGATCCCTGCAGGATAAAGGTTGTTCCCATTCCCAACATCTCATGGCCACGGTGCCTTTGCTGGGTTTCTCCCTGCCCAGCCCAGGGGCTCCTGTTTGCTGAACAGCCCAGGTTGGTTTGGGCTGGAAGGGACCATAAAAATCACCCAGTGCCACCCCTGCCATGGCAGGGACATCTCCCACTGTCCCAGGCTGCTCCAGCCCTGTCCAGCCTGGCCTTGGGCACTGCCAGGGATCCAGGGGCAGCCACAGCTGCTCTGGGCACCCTGTGCCAGGGCCTGCCCACCCTGCCAGGGAAGGATTTCCCAATATCCCATCAACCCTCCTTCATCTTGAGGCCATTCCCCCTTGTCCTGTCCCTCCATGTGCTCATACACCTCCTGTACATTGAGTTGGTCAGCTCCCGGATCTTTGGAAAGAAAAATATGGAATATTTTCTATGTGATCTTAGGACTGGTCGCTGGTGCAGTTTAAACTTCTTGCATATGAGATGTTTGAATTAAAAATTAAGTATTTATGAACATGCTTGGCTTTTAGACATCTCACTGAGCTGAGAGTTCTTCAACCCTTCAAAAAATATATAGCAACTTCTGAAGTTGAAAATTATTAAATTTCCTCCCTAAATTCCCCTCCCAGCTGACTGGAATTGCAATTGGAGCTGCAGCCATGCTACTGCTTGAAGTAGTTGCTCTTTTTGTTGTGTATGGGATAAGCCTATCTAATTATCAAGTACTTACCATGCAAGTTTTCAAACCAATTTTTCCATCGATCCCGAGTCTTTCTGTAGTTTTCTCGGGTAGTTGTTGCTGTAGAGGTGTGCTTCTTGCAGGACAGCAGCTTTGAAGGATGGAGACCTCGTGGTGGCTCCCTTCCCCAGGTGTGAGCCCAGAGCTGCCCCATGCAGGACCTGGAGCTTTTATTTCCTTGGCTGTGAGCAGTGTCAGCCTCAGATCAGTGGTGAATTATGCAGAGGAGTTCAACCCTACTGTGATTTCACTGTCACAGGAAGGAGAAATGATTGAATTAGAGGTTTCCTTCAGCAGATTAAAGCTGCCCAACCCTCCTGTCTGTTTAGAGCCCTTGATCTCCTCTGGGCTGAGGTGGAGCCTCAAGGCAGCCCTGCCTGGGTCTGGCTTGGCCAGAGCTGGGGAATGAGGGGTCCCAGGGTGGCTCAGATCCCAAACGCTGCCCAGGAGCTGCTCTGGAGGCAACAAAGCCCCCAAGCTGTGCTCAGGTGCTCTCCCAGCTGCTGAAGGTGGTTTCTGATGTGGTGCTTCTGTTCCAGAACAACTCCAGCCACACGTGCCTCAGTACAGGTTTCGCAAGAGGGACAAAGTGATGTTCTACGGGAGGAAGATCATGAGGAAGGTGAGGGCACCTGGAAAGGGGGAGGGAAGATGAAAATCCAGCTTGGGAGGTGTAAAGTTTGCTGTAGTTCACTGGCTGAGCCTGGCCCAGGGCCTATAAATCTCACTGGGATGTTGTGGATGTTTCACAACTCCTGCAACACTGGCTGGATTGCTGAGGGAGCAGCAGCAGCTTCTCTTTCTGGCCAGACCTTTCCTTTTTCAAGAATATTTGCAGTCACTTAAGGCAGTAATAAATCAATGAATATCTAACTCCTGTATGGAATTGAATAAATATCCCAGAATTCCAGATTGGTTGGGGTTGGAAGGGACCTTAAAGATCATCTTGTTCCATTATCCCAGACTGCTCCAAGCCCCATCCAACCTGGCCTTGGGGACACTTCCAGAGGTGAGGCATCCACAGATTCTCTGGGCCACCTGTTGAATATTTGAGGGTTGTTCTTACCCTGTTAGGGTGCCTGATTTCCCTCAAACTTATGTCTGAGAAGATCAAAATGCTGCTTTGACTCCTGCTCTTGCTGCCTAAACTGAGAAATCTGGTATTTTCAGCCTAAAATGTATTTGAGTTTGTCCAAATACCCGAGCTGTGACCAGGGGCAGCCCTGCAGGGTGGGTGGCTCTGCCAGGGGCACGATGGCTCAGCTCAGAGGGGCACAGGGAAAGACCAAGAGGCAACAGGCACAGGATGTAAGGGAAAGGCACAAGCAAAAGGTTCAGCCCTGGGACTGGGTCAGGGATGGCATTTCCAGCCCTGGAAATTTTCAAAGCCCAGAGCAACCCAAGGAACTTTGAAATCAGCTCAGCTTTACGTGGGCAGGTTGATAAGCCTGTAAAGGCTCCTCCCAGTCTAAAGCATCTGATTTTAACACTGAGATGAAGAAGCTGCTTATTGAAATGCAGCATCAACCAACAGCCCCAGGCCCATCAAGGACCAGCACAAGGGGATTTGGGCCAGCACCTTTCCAGCATTTCCACAAACTCCCTTCAAAACTCTTCATTTAATGGTCTGTGGCTGCTCCCTCCAAACCCAGGGGTCACACACTCCCCCAGAGAGCTGCTGAACAACCACACCAAAGGGTCAGTTCTCAGGGCACACACCTGGGTACATAAAAAGAAGTAGAAATTCACTTTTGTCAAGGTTATCATTAGAATTTATTGATATGAGACAAACTTTGTATGTCACCATGTCAATGGAGGAACAGCATGTCCAGATGTCACAGAAGCACAGAGCCCATCCAGGGACTCTCCCTGCCCTGGGAGCTCCCAGCTCCAGAGCCCAGGAGACCACACACATGGCTGGGGGGCACTGGGGACATTTCCTGGGGCAGGAATCCCAGAAATTCCTTGTCTGAGTGGTTTGCCAGACAGCAGCACCCAGCAGGCTGCAGTAGGGATCTGCTGGCTCTGACTCCAGCAGGGAAGGGCAGCTCACCCCAACCCCTCCAGTCACAGGGGGAAAAAGAAAACCTTACAGGGGGTGAGATTCCAGGAATCCCTGCAGGGAGATGAGAGCACTTGGGCCCTCTGGCTCCTCAGCCCTAAAGGGGCTCAGAGGAGCAGCTGGAGTGGGGACACACCCCCAGCAGGACAGGCCAGGCACAGCTGGAGCCTTCCCAAGGAGCAGACACAGCCATGCCACACTCCAGCCTGGCATCTGCCCATTCAGAAGCTGGGTTTTTTCTTTTAGCACAATTATGCCTGTGTTGAAACCACTCAGACATTCCCCTCTCACAGCCAGCCTGCCTGTCATCTATGCTTGTGGCTAAGATGAAAATTATCTATAATCTTTACTGGAAATACATTTTATGATGGATTCTACTTAAAAAAAAAAAATAAAAACCTCCAAGTGCTGAGCTTTCATCTTGTCCCAGCTTATGAAATATTTGGTTTGGTCCTAAGTATCTTGCTAAATGATTAGAGAGGGAATAGCAGAGTATTCCCCAGGCACCTGGTAAATCCACAACGGATTTATTGTAGAAACACACACTAAATTCTCCAACTGGCTCCAAATGGATTTCAGAGCCCTCTAGAACCCTCCAGAGAATGAGCTGTTTGTGACAGGACACACAAAAGGCAACCCCAAGTTCGATGAGTAACCAAGGTAAAGGACAGGCCACTGTGACAGGGCAGTGACACAGCCTGGCCCGAGCTGCCCCTGCCTGCCCATGGCCCCACCCTGCTGCACACCTGGAGAGGAACCTCTGCCCAGACACACACCTGTGACCTGTGTGCTCCTCCCGTCCCTCTCCTGGGGGCTGTGACAAGTGACAAAGAGGGTTCTGCTCTCAGCCATCCAGTTCCACCAAATCTAAGTTCCCTCTCACACGTAACAGCATTGATTTAGAGATCTCATATTGATGGGTAATTATACAGGATTAATTGCACATCAGTCCATTGTGGCTACAAGTTCATTAGGTTAATAGCTCTACATAGTGACAGTAGTACAGTATCAGCTACTTCTCAATACAAACTCCCTACCCTAACCTTAATTTGTAGGTCAGAGGAAGACCTTCTAACACAGTGACCTCCCAATAACCTTTAACATTCATTTTAAAATCATTTTTTTCTAGAAAACAAAACAACAAAAAAAATCCAGTGTGGGGAAAACGCACATATATAACCAAAGCAGTGCTTAACAACCACAGGAAAACAGAACATCATCTTGGACTCTTGTTTCAGCATCTTCTGTGGACCCTGGCAGTGTCACTCCCAACGGGTTCCTCAATGCTCCGTCAGTTCCCAAGTCCATTAAACCATTTCCCAGCTCCAGATGTTTCTGGCCTCTCACCATTGTCTGAAGCAAGAGCACACAGAAACACTTGCTCATGTGCACAAGACTTCCACCAGATTCCATGGAAGAGCTCTGGAAGGCTGCAGCCTTTCCTTCCAGAAACCTGCTCTCGAGTGGCAGCGCTCTCACCGACCGCGCCTTCTCTTCCAGCCAGGAGAGAGCTCCAAGTCCCTCCAAGTTCTACTCATTACATCTGCCCAAAGGTGTGTGGGTATCCAATAACACCCCTCTCACAGTATTCCCAGGAAATGATTCAGAAGAGGAGATGATTTTTCAACCAAATGAGATCCTCTGGTCCTGTGTGTCAGACCATGGCCAAGAGAATGAGCAGCTGCCATGGACGTCCCAACTGAAATGGGGAGGGGAGCCTGACTGTGAGGGACAGGCAAAGAGACCCCAAAGTCACTCTGTTCTCGACAGCTTGCCTCTTTCCTGGAGTCAAATGTTTGCTTCCATTTGTTCTAGCAGGAACTGGTGGATCATGTCAAAAGTGGGACGATCTTTGATATCCCTGCTCCAGCATTTCAGCATCAGGTCGAACACAGGGTTAGGACACAGAGGAGTCTGGGACAGATAGATCTGAAAGGAAGAGAGGCACAGTGTTTCAGTGGGCTTCTCGCTGAAGAACTGAACCTTTACTCAAGTAACACCAAAAGACAGTTTCATTCCAGGTTTACAAGACACAGCCACCATGCAGTGTTTGGAATCCCTCCAGCTCCAGTGGAGTCTGGACAGAGCCTCTCAAACAGCACCACGGACACTTTGCCAACTTGTCTGATGAGCTGGTCACAAAACAGGCCTTTGTCCCCCAGAAAACATGAATGCTTCTGAGGGATTTGTCCTCCGAGAGACAGCAAAACACAAACCAAAACCAAATTTACCACAATAAAATCCAAGTACTTTGAACTCACCGTAGACAGCCCATGAGGCTTTCTAAGCATCGTGACAGCTTGTTAGCAGAGACAGAAAAAACACCTTTTAGAGCTTATCTACAGCACAGCTTGGCAGAATTATTTTATTTCTCCCTCTCATTTTTTAGGCTCTTGGCTAATCATTAATATCTGGGAGATGGTGAGTAAACCCCATATCATTTTCTTTCCCTTAATTCTCTAGAGCTAAAGGTGAATTTTGGGGAGAACTGTTCTCCACAGCTTTGGGTACTGAGGAGATGGAGTGTCCTGCACATCACTGGTATCTACTGAGGGCAGCAGCAGTGGGGATAAAATGGCACAAAAGCCCTTCAGCAGCTGGAGATGGCTAAAGGCTTCTTGGCATGTGTGGAGATACTACAGGAAGAATGTCATCCCTGGGAGCTAACAACTGCTCCTTCCCACCACAATTCCCTCCTGCTTCCTCATCCTCCAGAGGCAATGCTGGTGAGAGGAGGGGAGAGGGAGAGGGAGAGGAGATCCAGCAGGATGGGAGTGGCTGAGAGGACAAGGGAAGAGCCTGTCTGTGCCTCACCTGCCTGCCCTGGCTGCGGAAGAACTCGCCCGTGTTCTCGATGACCTGCTCGTCCGTGAGGAGGCTGTAGGGCTGCTCCTTGCACAGCACAAACATCTCCCACAGGGTCACCCCAAAGGCCCACACGTCGCTGGCTGTGGTGAACTTGCCCTGTGGACAGAGAGGATCTGCTCAGCCCAGCAAAACCCTTTCAGCCAAACCCTTTCATCAGTCTGCTCCCTCTGCAGCCCAGCACCAGGGAAATGCTCTGAACAGAGCCAGCACAGCAGGTGAGCTGTGCCCACAGGGATGACAGGGCTGTTTGTAGGGCAGCAGGGGCACGTGGGGGTCCCACAAGCCCTAAGAAGGTGCAGTTTTCACAGGGACAAAGCTTTGTAACAGGGTGCAGAGAAGGCCAGAGACTCCTGTCCCTCCTGAGAGTCTGTTTGCAGCAGGATAAAATAAACTGAGGGAGGGGGAATAGTCACTGCCTACCTCCACCCAAAACAGCAGAGCTCACAGAAAAGCCTTTGAAAGGGAAGCAAAGCCCTCAGGGTGAAAGCAGAACCAGGACAGACTCTAGACACTTAGAGAAAGGCCCAAGATAATTTCGATTTTTGCACATTTAAGAAGCCAATGACAAACTTCCTGCTGTCCCTGTTTTCTGTCTTCAAAAAGTGTGCCCAAACTGGCTGTGTTTGGAACAATGTGTTTCTGGAGAAGTAAAAAGCAGATTGCTCAGAAAATAACACAAAACACTTGAGGGGCTGGAGGGCCTGTTTGGGCAGAAAATATCCCAGCCCCACTTCACCCAGGCTTATCTGGCAACCCTTGCAGTCTGTTGAGGTTTGGAAGATGGGAGTGATTTATGGTTTAGATGCAGCCATAACCAGGAAAAGAGGGTGGATTTTGGAGAGCTTGGGCCTGGCAGCCTGTATAGCAGAGGTAATTACAAATTTTCTGGGTACTTGGAGAGCATGTTGTAAGAAAGTAACTCACCAACTACTACAAGAAAAAAAAAAAGTTAAATATCATCCAGACTGGATGTATTTGGGCTGTAGAACAATCTCCTGAGGGGAGACAGCAGGACCCTTAGAGGTGGAAAAACCCCAAAGCCTCAAACCAGGCACTTAAAACTCAGGAGTTTTGTCCCTTGCCCTCTCAGCTTCCCAATAAAGGGAATTAGCAGAGAAAGGCAACTTCCTTAAAATTCCACCAGGAATGCCAGGCACTCATGCCTGGATGAGGCCTGAGGGATGTGATGCCACCCAGAGAGACCTGGACAAGCTTGAGCAGTGGCCCACAGGAACCTCAGGAGGTTTCAGCAGTGCTGGAGCTGCCCCTGGGTCAGGAGAACCCCAGGACCAATCCAGGCTGGGAGGAGCAGCTGGAGCAGCCCTGGAGAGGGAGCTGGGGGTGCTGTGGGTGGGAGCTGGAGCTGCCCCAGCCCTGAGCCCCCTGCCCTGGGCTGAGCCCAGCGTGGGCAGCAGGGCAGGGGGATGCTGCCCCTGTGCCCTGTGCTCAGGTCAGACCCCACCTGCAGAGCTGCCCCAGCCCTGCCCAGCACAGGGAGGAGCTGGAGCTGCTGCAGAGACCCAGAGCAGGGCCAGGGGGAGCAGAGGGATGGAGCAGCTCTGCTGGGAGGGAAGGCTGGCACAGCTGGGGTTGTTCACCTGGAGAGGAGAAGTTTGGGGTGAGCTCAGTGGCCTTGCAGAGCCTGAAGGGGCTGACAGGAAAGATGGAGAGAGACTGTCCAAGGGCCTGGAGGAGCAGGACACAGGGAATGGCTTCCCCCTGCTAGAGGGCAGGGATGGATGGGATACTGGAAGGAATTCTTCCCTGTGAAGGGTGCCCAGAGCAGCTGTGGCTGCCCCTGGATCCCTGGCAGTGCCCAAGGCCAGGCTGGACAGGGCTGGGAGCAGCCTGGGACAGTGGGAGGTGTCCCTGCCATGGCAGGGGGTGGCACTGGATGGGCTTTAAGGTCTTTCCAGCCCAAACCATTCCATGACATTCTGTATTTCCAAGGCCAGGCTCCTCTCCCAGGATCTGAGTTATGTCCAACACAACCCCGTGGATCTCTCAGCAGGGGCCATGTGCAGCACAGATACTGGTGGTGACTGCCTGGCACACAGCTGTGTCACTGCTTCAGGGGCACAGCAAAGATCAGAGCAAGAAGAAAAAGAAGCTTTGTGCAGTGCCTACCAGCAGGATGCTCTCCCAGGCCATCCAACGGATGGGCAGCACAGCTCTGCCCTGGATCCTGTAGTAATCCCCACTGTAAAGGTTCCTGCTCATGCCAAAGTCTGCAATCTTGATGGTGTAGTTGTTGCCCACCAGGCAGTTGCGAGTTGCCAGGTCCCTGTGCACGAAGTTCAGGGATGCCAAGTACTTCATCCCCGAGGCAATCTGGGTGGCCATGTACAGCAGGTTGGAGTGGCTGCAGCAAAGGAAAATGCAACAAAGAAAAATCACCGGAGCTCCCCCACACTCAAAACTTCATTGTATTTGATGTGTTAGTGACCTGTTGTTTTATTTTCTGCCATAACAGTGGAACTAAACGGTCTCATTCCAGGGCATGAACAGCCAAGATCCTGAGCTGACTAAGCAGGAACAGACAGGCTCTCCCTGAAATTCAGGCCTCACAACCTGACATACTTTAGTTTTATTTTTTTTTTTTCAGTATCAAACATTAATCTCGAGATTTTCAAAGAGTTTGTGCATCAAAGCACCACTTTTTTGCAGGGAGACATGAAAAATTAACCTCAGAATCTCATATCTTAAAAGCCACTTAGCCTGGTATTTCAAACAACACCACTATTGAATGCTTATATTAACATAAGTGTGTCACTTCACATTAAAGAGAGTTGACTTGGTTTTAAATATTCTAAACATTACTGAAAATAGAAACAGATGCATTTTCCATCTAATTTAATTTTAATTCCTCCATTAGCTAAATGAGGATAGGATTAATAAAGCTGCAGGATACACAGAGTTTGGACCATCAGACTCTCAGCATTCTTCCCACACTATTGCTCTGTGTTGCTCTGCCTGTTTCCCACTGCTGATGCTCAAATGCTTCACACAACCAAGTGCTCATCAGAACACATCTAATAAACTGCTCACAGTTTGTATTTTTTCAGTAAAGGTCAAAAAACAGGTATTTTCTATCAGAACATAAAGAAAAAGGAGACTATCACAGAATCATGGAATGGTTTGAGTTGGAAAGGACTTTAAAGATCACTTTGTTCCACCCCCTGCCATGGGCAGGAACACCTTCCACTATCCCAGGTTACTCCAAGACTCTTCCAACCTAGCTTTGGACACTTCTAGGGATGGGTCAGCCACAGCCTCTCTGGGCACCCTGTGCCAAGGCTTCACCATCCTCTGAGTAAAGACTTTCTTCCTAAAATCTAATCTAACCCTGTCCTCTGGCACTGTAAAACCATTCTCCCTATCCTCCCACTATCTGTCTGTATAAAAAGTCCTTCTTCCTACTTGTTATAGGTTCCAGAGCAGTAACTCTTCCACTCACCTGCACCCTGATAACCTGGCTGCTGGCCTGTGGCACAGGAATGGGCACAGCCTCCAAGACCTCAGCTTTTCCCTTCCCCTGCTCAGCTGTGGTTCCCATCCTTCCTGTCCCACCTCAACCCTGGCAGGGTCCCATCAGCAGCTTCCTCTTGGCTCCTGCCTCCCTGCTCAGGTGGTTCCCAAGGCTCCACACGAGCAGCTCCATGAGCAGAGGGCCAGGAGGGGATGGGACTGGATGGGACAGACTGACAGACTCCTCAGCAGAGTCACTGTGGTGCCTCAGGGCAGCACCCCAAAGGCAGAGGAGCAGAGCTGACTCTGGAAGAGCAGCAAAGTTGGTGGAGAAGAAGCTGGGGGGGCTCAGCCTGGAGAAAAGGAGGTTCAGGGGGGCCCTTGTGGCTCTGCACAACTCCTGACAGGAGGGGACAGCCGGGGGATCGGGCTCTGCTCCAGGAACAGGGACAGGAGGAGAGGGAACAGCTCAGGCTGGGCCAGGGCAGGTTTGGGTTGGATCTTGGGGAAAATTTCTTCAACAAAATGTTGTCAGGTCTTAGCAAAGGCTGCCCAGGCAGTGCTGGACTCACCATTCACCATTTAGAAGTCATGTAGATGTGGCACTTTTGGGACATGGTGACCTTGGCAGTGCTGGAGAACATCAATGATCTTAGAGGGCTTCTCCAACCTAAATGATTCTGTGACCTGACAGCCAGAGACAGCAGGGAGATGCATTTCAAATACCAGAGAGCCATAAGGACTTAAGAATGTGTGATCCCTGTGCATGGAAGGGCTGGTCACCCCTCTGGTGCACCAAACCCTGGGTATGGAGCTGGGTGGGGTGGCTGCACCTTGTCACATCCATCAGGTGCCCTCAGGCACCAGCAGAGCCAAGCTGCTCCTGGGGCAGGGGCATTCCTGTCACTGCCAGGACACAGCCCCTTCAGAGCTGTCTCTGTGTGACACTCTCTGCCTGGCAGGGACAAAGGGAGAGGCTGAAGGATCAGTGGGAGACAATGAAAAACTAGAGGTAGAGCCAAGTAATGGAGAGCAAGGAAGAGCAACATGAGTGAGTGACAGCACTGAAGTCAAATGGGAAGCAAAAGGAGATTAAAAAAAAGAACATTTTGAGGCTTTGGCCAGGAAAAAAAAGCCACAAGTGTAAAGGTGAATGGGTTTCAGATGGGCAGAAGGGGCAGGAGACTGGAGAGAGCTGGAGTCTAATTTTTCTCAGACACAAACCCTCTCTCCCTCCTGCATGTCCTGCCTGTAGGACACCAAGTTAACACTCCTGACAGGACCATTGACAGGTCCTGGCAGCAAGGCTGGTGATGTCTGGCTGTGGTAAAACCCAGCCACCTCCTGCCCAGCACATCAGAGCTGGCTCTGCCTGCCTGACTTGTGCCTGAACCACAAATCCAAGTACTCCTTTTGGGGGGGAACACACCAAAGGCTCAGCACTGCTGCAGCTCATGCTCAGTGCAGGGCTCCTTATCACACAGAATATATTAGTCCTACATGATTCTCCTCTGGGGAAAGCATTCTGCAATAGCAGAGATGCTTTTATGGCAGATTTAATCCTTCCATTGAGGAGGAAGACAAGTGCCACTGCTAACTAAAACCGTTTTTTGGTTTTCTTTGCCAAATATTCTCCTTCTGTTGCCTCATCAAATCTTCTCCCTTTTGCAGCTCCACACTCGGCTCCTCTCATGCAATATTTTTTGGACACCAGAGAACATATGAACCTTCTTAAAAGCCCAAGAGAGATTCTTGATTTTTGTCCCAAAATTCTTGTAATGCAACTGATTTTCATATCAATGAAATATCCACTAACATCTATAACATAACAATGAAATATCCATAACATAAAGAGATAGTCACCTCAATAAATATATCTAAGATGGTCTCTGTGACCAGAACAGCTCTGTCAGGGGTACACAGACCTCCAGAGCCCTCAAGAACAACCCCACACCAGGCAGAACTGGTGTCCATTGCCATGGCAATGGCCAGGCTGCAGGAAGGTCCCTGCTGGGCAGGCACAGCAGATAAAACTGCAGCTCTGTTTTGCTGATTTATCCCAACAAGTCAAGCAGCTTCTCTTACGTGACACAGGGGATGTTGTTTGAAATGGCAAATTTGCTGTAGATCTCCCTGTGGGACAGGAACTGGTTGAGGTCCCCGTTCTCCATGTACTCTGTGATCATGCACAGGGGGTCGTCCCGCACGCACACGCCCAGCAGCCGGATGATGTTCGGGTTCTTCAGCCTGGACATGATCTTGATCTCCTTCAGGAAATCATTCCTTGTAAAACAGAAAGCACCTCTGAATCCTGAACAGTTCCTTTGTCTGAGGACAGCACACAAGGCTGTGTTCCAAGTTCAGAGTAATTTACACTTTGCACGCACAAGTGTGAAACTGGTTCTGAGCTCTCCCAGCAAACAGGATTCATGCAGCATTTCAGGCTGACATTGCAGCTTCCCCTACCCCCCACTCCCTGCTGTGTCCTGCTCCTTCCAGGAGCACATGGAATAGACACCCCAGAGACACACAGCAGTCCCCAGGGTTACCCTGTGCCTGGGGGTATTTGCTTTCCTCCCCAGCTGGTTGGCACTGCAGGTGCACTTACCTGGCTGTTTTGTTGACATCTGATCTCAGCATTTTCACTGCCACAAGAACTGGCTGGTGAGTGAATTCTGAGGATGAGACTCCCAGGAATTCCAGCAGGCCATCAGCTTCACAGAGGTGCACCTGCAGGACAGAAGGCAGAGGCAGCTGTAAGAGCACACACAGGCAGAAAAGCAGAGGAAAATAACATCACAGCCAGGTCACTGCTGGCAGAATGAACCAGTGAATGGCCCAGTGAAGTTGACACAGCTGTGATCAGAAATGACCCAAGGGCTGGCCCTAGACCCTGACATAGCCATGACACAGGGGCACACGGGGACCAAAGCCAGGTGAGTCAAAGCCAGGGAGTCCCCAGCACACTGCAGCAGCCCGGGCCAGCCCAGTTCATCCAGCACCTACTGGGGATGTTCAGGAAGGCCCCCGAGTCTGCATGTGTCTGCTCTGCACTAAAGTATCTCACACAACCCCAGAACCATCAAACCATGGCCTGGCTCGAGGCATTGCTCAGACTTCACTGAGGAGCATCCAAGAACTACAACCAGTTATCCAAAATCCTCAAATTCCAGAGGGGAGAAAAGTGTGTGCATTGTGTCCCTGATATAAACATCTCACCTATAGGTATACCCAGAGATAAATACTCTAATGACTACACACAATTCCAAATTTCTTCCAATAAATTAATGATTAATGATACAAAATTACTGCCAGGGTTGTACAAGAAGGGGTGACAAAACACTTTCTTAAGAAGTTACCAGAATGTGCATCCAAATGGAGAACTGGGTGAGGAATGCAGACTGACCTGAGGGTGTGGATGGGAAACAAGACTGGAAGAGAGGAGCAGACTGGATGTGTCAGTCAAAGACTTGCAGCAGTGAGGGGAATGTAAGAGAGCATGATGAATTTTGTATGAAAAGAGCAGCAAGAACTGATGTCACAAGCATGGTGAGGGGAAAAAATGAGACAGCAGAGAAAATGGGGCAAACCTGCAGAATGGGAGTGAAGGCACAAAGATGCTGCTGCAGTCCCACAGAGAATGAATCTGCTGTGGGGAAAGCACAATCACCTGGGACAGGGAAGAGCCACAGGACTAAGCACAGGTAATTCCGAGGTGATTGTCACCAGGGAGGGGTGGTGGTGCTTCCTTGGGAGCAAAGACAAAAGACTGGAAGGAAGGAAAAGTGGAGACCTGAAAGAAGCAATGAGCCCTGTTTCTAGGAGCACACAGAGCCAGAGTAGTGGAGCAGAGCATGTGATGGCCAGCTGGGGAAAGACTAAGGAGAACGGGAGACAGGAAAATGTGGTGCAGTACATTTGCAAAAGAGCCTGTGATACACGGAAAGGAACAGGCTCTGAATCCATCCTCAAGGAAAATGGAGATGGGAGAGCCATCTCCAGACAATACAGAGGAGTTATTACAGTTATCAGAAGGACAATGAGAGGAAAGGAGAAACCAGAAGCAAATCAATGAGCAAATCCTCTCTGTCCCACTTTTGGAGCACAGAGCAAGATGCAGGCAACAGCAGAAAAGGCTGCACTGACAGCCAGGTGAGGAGGCTGAAGATGTCAGCACCTCCCCAGAAAACAGTGAGCAAGAAAGAAGTGAGGGGACAGGAAAGGGGCTGGGATAGGGAAGGTGGAGTGTCAGAATGGAGCAACCACAAAGATGGGCACATGACAGAGCAGGAAGCACTCAGTGAAAAGCTGTACTTATCAAAATGTAATAGAGAAGCAGAATTTAGGGCTGTGAGTGAACAAAGGCTGGGAAGAAAAAAGACAGTGGAAAAGTGAGAGCAGGGGAGAGAAAGACCTGCTCAGGATGGAGCTACAGATGGTGTGAAAATGAAGCAGAGAGAGAAGAAAAGGCGAGGTGAAAACGTCAACAGCTTGAAAGGAGCTCAAGGAGCCAAGGGAAAGTTTGGCAGATGACAGATGTGTGCATCATTCTGCCTGAGGCTGCTGACAAACTAGGGCTTGAGCAAGCAGCAATGCCAGAAAATATGAGGGCGCCACAGTGCTTGGGAAATGTCTGTCTTTGCTTGGGTCAGTGTGCAGAGCACCCCCAGAACCTCCATCTGTGACTGTGAGAGCTGTTTTAGCAGCCAGGATCAAGGATCAGTGTTAGCTGGACTGTGGAGAATTTCCAAACCCACATGTCTACAGGTGGGTGACAGCCATCAGATTTGAGATGTCCATGGAAGATGTGAAAGTCTGAATTCCCAACCCTAGGAGTTTACACAGGTATAGACAGCAAACAGAAAAAGTTTGCAAGTTCATCTGTTGATGAAGACCCCAGTGGTGCCGACCAGAGCCTCACAAGGCTCAGTGGCTTAGCCTGGGGGATATCAGCTTTCCCCAAAGGGCCAACACACATTTCAATTTTAACTAAAACCCTGGAAAATGCAGTCCCACTGAAGATTCCTCTCTGCCAGGCACCTCCTTTCTGCTGGAGGAGCAGCAGCAGGATGGCTGTACCTCTCCAAACTGTCCTTCCCCCAGCTTCTCCTTGAGGCGCAGCTGCTGCCGGGGGAACTCCCCAACGGAGATGTCCTTCTTGGTGAGGGAGTCCACGGTCAGGGCTGGCACAGCGTACATGTTGTTGCCTGTCACGCCCTGCAGGTGCACGATGTCGGTCTCGGCGTAGTGGGGGACGTTGTTCTGGAAGCCTTGGTGAGGGGTGGACTTGGTCAGGTCGGGCTCAGCGTAGTCCCCACTGCACACTGAGGGCAGGCAGAGTTGGGTGAGTCACGCCTCACTGCCTCCCAGTATGTCCCAGTTTCCACTCCTCCCAACCCCACAGCTCTGGGAATTTGGCCGCCTGCTGCCTTGTACTGAGGGACACCTACATGGGATGTGTGGGAAATAAATGTGTAGAGAATTCTCAAAGCCTAACAGAAGGCTCACGCAATATGCAAACTTTGAAATAAAAAATACTAACTTAAAAATACCATAAAATAAAACAGACATTATTAAAAGAGAAATAAAACTAGAAACAAGTTTCAAAAGATAGCCTTACAAATAAAACTAGGTACTTTAGAGAAATAAAACTATAAAAGATAGAGTAATTTTAAATGATTGGCTTTAAAGCATTTACAACATAGTGTAGCAAAAGCTAATAAACCAAAAAACTCTTATAATGTATTGTAATTAGCATATAGTTACCTTTTAATTATAATAGCGTGAACTATAACAGCTATACTGTCTCACCCTTCACATAAAGCTAAAAATAAAATAAAAGTTTTAAAATACCTCTCAGTTGCCTCATCTCTAGGTCAAAAAAGGGCTTCATCCAACAGGGACACACTGCTCTGTTTTAACCAGAACAATCCCTGCGAGCTGCCAGCAAATTCCTGCTCAATACAGCCTGTTCTAGCCAGCCATGAGAGCTACAGGTCTTGCCCAGACAGGGAGGCAAGTCCAAAGTGATTTTCTGTTCCTGATTCATCCTAAGTACAATCAGTTCCCATCACCTGGTGCAGGGATGTTGTTTGCAACATCAAACTTGCTCTGGATTCCCTCCTGCAACAAGAGCTGATGGAGGCTTCCCTTTCCCATGTCCCCTGGTAGCAAACTCCTCTCCCTCTTACAGCTTATTCACATAAATATGGGGTAATGCTTTAGAATTAACTCCCTGCAGAGTCACTATTACACAAAACACTTGTTCTGCTTCAAATTCACACCCTGGCTCAATCCAATCAGTCTCCCCGTGTAGAATAATGCTGGATCTTAGCAACCTGTCAGTGTGAGGAATGCAGCACTGCCCTTCCATTTGCTGATGAGAACTGCCTTCACTCAGCACTAAACACTGTTGGAAACATTCCCTTCTATGTGAGTCCAAAAGCTCCCCGGGGGCTGGAAGCCAGGACACCACGGACAATTCCCTGCTCTATTTCCTTGTGGTTTTTCTACAGGAATTTCAAAGAGCCCTGGCTGCAGGAAAAGGTCTTCTCCTAAGAGTGCTGCAGGCAGCATCCCCACAAACAATGTGTGATTGCACTGACTGCCCAAACCAGCTGCTAAAAGTGACCTGGGTAATAAATAAACAGTCTTCAAATAAAACAATAAAAGGCCACCAGCCTCTAGTGGGACTGCTGCTCCAGCTGTCACAGCTCCATGCCAAGAAATGCCAGTGTTCCACAATACTGCCTGAGCTCCCTGGGTTATTGCATTGCACAGGAGCCAGGATGGCAACTTAGACACTGACAAGTGGCATATTTTACAATCTGACAGAAATAACAAAAGAAGAAACATGCAGCTTCCAGAGACTGATGA